TCTACACCATTCATTTGACACGCAGCGTAAAGTGCCCTGCTCTATTTAGCTTTGCAATGCAAGGGGGTGCCTTTCTCTCCTGAAAGGTAATACATTTTTCTGAGGGCAGAGGTGGTGTCTTACACACTTCTGTTTCCCCAATGTCCTAGCAATGCTATGGTCAAAGTGGGAGTAAAATAACGAGCTGCAGTAGGAAGAAACAAACCACATTTGTAAGTGATGCTTTGCTTGTATATTAGGGGTGATATCAGTGATGATGATGATGATGATGCAAATTAATGTAAAGGGAGAGATGAGTGCACACATCTTGAGAAGCAAATCTGGGGACAGAAGGAGAATGGTGGTAGAAGGAGACGGGCCAAATACAGGAAAATCAACTGGTAGGGAAAGCTTAGAGGTAAGAGACCCTTTGTCCTCCACCCGGGAGCCTGGGCTGAGGGGGCCTTGGGACAGCATGCCATGGAGAAAAGCCTCACTCTTCACTGGGAGTCCCTCCTTTAATGTTCTGCACTAATGCTGTGCAGTGAATAAGGAGAGTTGAAGGACCAAAGGAGAAATCAGGATTTTGGCTGAGAAGGAGAGAAATAGGAATCCAGAGGTGGAGTGGAGAAGTTAATTTACCCCACGAATATGTATTGAATGAGATGGGTGTGCTGGGGGATGGTTTTTGCTATAATGGAGGGACATACATGGTGCCATAGGAATGTGGAGAAAACCACCGAGTGTGCGTGGGTGAATCGGAGTGGGCTTCATAGAAAGCGGGGAGCACGATCGGCTCACCTGACAGACAAGCCATGAAACTGTGAGGACCCAGAAGCTGCACACACAAAGGCCTGGCATGCAAGGACTCTGTCCACCTGGCAATCGGCTAGTGGCTGACAGCGTTGGGGCACAGAATCCGTAGGAGGAAAAGGAACAAAACTTAAGTCAGGAGCTAGGCCATGAAGTGCCTTGCATGTTGGATTAGAGCAGGGTATAAGGGCAGCAACAGGGCTAAGGACGCCTGGGGTGGAAGAAGGATGTGAAGTGGGGACTCCGATTAGGAGTTTATAGCAATAGACTGTGGAGGAAATGTGGAGAAGCCACATGGGAGGGTGGCAATGTAGAGGGAAAGGAATGACTTGAGAAATGAGAATTTCTAGGGTTTGGGATCTAACAGTACTTTCGTGTTAGAGGGAGGACGCTGGCTATTCATATTTCCACAGGTAGAGATGCACAAGGAGTGTGGATGTGTAGGGAGGCAGAAGAGAGTGACTGTGGACACACGGGGGTTGTTCCTGTGGGACCCCAAGGGGGCCCTCCCAGTATGGCACTCAGGAATCTGCTCTGGGGATAGAGAACTGACAGAGAAATGCAAGATGCTTAGGGTGAGACAGGGAAGAGACCCCTGAATAGGAGCAAGGGGAAAGGTTTTAAGCAAGTCAATATTAAGAAGCTGTGAAAAACCTCTTGAAATTTCAGTTAGTATAATTTTTTATATTTTTCTTTATGCAACTAAAAACCACAAAAGTGTTATAAAAAGTGGATATAAAATAAAGGCTTTAAAAATCATTTAGTGTGAAACTGGTAATCACTTTTAATTCCTATGACTTATCAAGTGTCTTGAGTATATGAAAAGTTTGGTTAATGTCAATAACATATTATTCCATACTTTCTTATTTACATTAAAAGGTAAGTTATCTTCTGGTTAATTCCTCTTGAAAAGCACTACCTAGTTGTCAAACATTAAATACGGTAAAATTCTTAATCCTCAAATGACATAGATAATTCACTAAAGCGAAGAAAAGAGGGGACTTGAGAGTCCAGCATAATGAAACCCGAGGTGGTAGTGGTGTGAGAACACGCACAGATCTGGATGGATTCCGACCCATCACCATGACATTCAAATTGCTCCACAGTAAGCGAAATGCGAGCCAGGAACATGCCCTGTTGTGGATACAGACAGCGAGAGCTTTGAGCTGTGGCTTCTAAGTCGGCTCCCAGAGGACATACTAACTTTATTTATTTCCTTCCAAACCCTAAAGGAGAAATAAGCGACTCAGAATTTCAGAGCCTGTTCTTTAGGTCTCTGTTTAAGAAGGAGGGTCCGGAAAAAATAATTACCTGGTATTGCCTTTCCCAGACTTCACAGAATACCAGTAAGAAGAGAATGTTTAGAATGATATTAATACTATTTACTCTGAACAGCCAAGTTGTTTAACTATATAGACAGATTTATCCAAAGAGTATGTATTCCCACATAGGATATTACACAAATATTTTAGAAGGCTATGTCAAATAATATTTGATTGAAAAATATTTTATTTGGTTGGAAGTCAATTACTCTTCCATGGGCTTCCAGATCTTACTGTTTACTTGCCCAAAATTGGAAGAATACTACTTCTACACATTTGGCTTCCATTCTACAAAGAAAGGGAAACTTCTAAAACTTTAGGCTCATTGTCTTCAGCTGACATTAGCTGGTGACTTTCTCATGAGTAAGGGGCACTGTGATCCTCTTAACAACCCAGAAGGTAGTAGTAAATAATTTTGAGTTTCTAAGTGTTTAATTTATATATTTTAAGAAACAACAAATCAATCAGTATATATTATTCCACAATTTCACAGAGAGCTTATTAAGACAGCATTTCCAATTTGAAACCAACTCTTTTACATCAATATCATGTATAAAACTATTATTACATACCCGACAATTATTTGATCAGTATATATTAGTAAACTACTCCAAAGACTGTAATGTGCTGTCATGTAGCATAATGTAAACATTATTCAACACAGCTTGAATTTTCAATCAACTTTAGATACTGTGGTATTCTGTGAATTAAACTCTAGAGGTTTTAAGTGATTCATTTTATCATAAACACTCAATCCAAAAAGATGATTAAAATAATTGAGATAAGGCTTGATTGTAAGGATAAACAGCCTTTTTTTTCTAGTAACATCTGTGGTAATAATATGCTATCATTTAAACCAACTAGGATGACTCACCATCTGTGGGTAAATGTAATTTTAGTAAATGTAATCTTTTCTAGTACTGGTGATAGTTCTTTTTTTTTTTTTAAACTGAATCATCCTTCCTCTATCCTTTTGCAACCATGAAGTGAGATGGCAAGCTGAGGTCAGGAGTACAACTTCTTGCTATGTTCCAGAACCAATTAACTGGCCCACTTAAGAAATTTACCCATGACCTTGGCCTCAATAGGATCTTGCTCTAAATCAGAGTCAACTTGCCTGGGACCCATCATAGATCAATTATTTTCTCTATGTAGCCATAATTCTGAAAAACGAAAAGAGTTTCATTTTTATTTATATGTCACTGTCTCAAATATAAATGACATTTTATTTTTGAACATAGTATAATAAATGAACAAATATTAACATACAAGTACTTAGCCAGCACATTGTAATTCATTTTGCTTTAAGGTAAGTATTACAGTGAACTACAAGATCAACCTTCCCCAGACTCCATTGCAGTGTCCTTTTTTGGCGGCCTTGATATTTCTACTTTGTTCCTGACTGAGCTTAGACACCAAGATCCATCACTTTCTGGGACTAGCCACTCTAATCCTCATGGATTTTTTTGTACTGGTTCACATGGTATAGTCTACATAAATTTGAAATAGTTCAAAAAAAATCCCACAAAAATACCCCCAAACCAACCAACAAACCAAGGTCTTACTTTATGTGAAAATGGAAATAATATGAATTCTCTATATTTAAAAAATTATCTGGAATAGGAATACATCCAAGCTGGAGGACCCAGTGAACTGTAACCTGTTTTTATGCTATTACCACATGGTGGTGCCACTTTGGCTGATAAACAGAACACTTGCCATCTTTGCTCAGTACCGTGTGAATCTCACTGTTGTTTATGTACAGTGGAACTTCTGTAAGTGATTATGATGACTAATGTGCTGTTATTTTACAAACTCTGTTATTATAATTGAAAATATTTTTATATCCTACAACAATATCTCTCAAGCATTCATTAAGCAGTGGTTCTAGTGATAGTGCTGAACAACACAGCCCCCAAAAACAGTAACACTGGAACAGACGTGAGTTGTGATAAAACACTATGAAGGCCAAATATCCACTATGACCTCCTGTGTTGGTAATTTATGTGAAAGCACTCTAAAAAATTAGAGCTAATGAAGAAAAAATTAAAAAGAACAGTAAAGTAAAAGTAAGCTGCAATGCTGTACATTCATGCATTCCCCAAAGGATCTCTTTTACATCTTTTCTTATGGGATAATTAGTCTTGAAGTATGAGTTTTATATTGTGAGACTGCTTCAGGAATACATCTATCACACAGATGTAAATGCCTTCTTCAAATACAGCATTTCCCCCACCATCTCCACGAAGTGCATCTCTTTCCACTACTACATCCCACGCACACAGTAAACAGTGCAGCAATCATGAATGTGGGCTGTGGAGCTATATTTCCTGGGTTTCAATCTCCAGGCTCCATCATTTTCCAGTTGTATGGCCTTGGCTAAGTTTCTTAACTTCACTGTATATCAGTTTCCTCACCTGAAAAATTAGGATGATACCACTACCCACCTTGAAGGGCTGTGGTAGGGACTGAATGAGTTTGATATAATACATTTAGAACCTGTGTGGCACCTGAGTTAATATTATGTAAATATTAGCTACTGTTGTGATCATCTTCATCATCACCTTCCCAACAACTCGTGATGATACTTTTAAGGCAGAATTTGTTTCACTGGGTTAAAGAAATAAGGTGTCCTTTTATTAACAGTATATGAATTATAGTGCATGCCACGGTTGCTTGTAGGATATGCAGTGGTATGAAAGTATTAATGCTTCTTTTGCTATCTTCTTTTGAAAAGCTGTCAGAAACCTTTGTCACAGTTCTGAGGAGCCCTTCTAGTCTATGTACTGGGTAAGCAGCATGATTCTGGATAGGGCCTGCTCAGACACTAACATTTACATCAAGGGACATGGCAGTGTCAAGTGGACATTTCTTTAGCCATCTTACCTTCAGTCTGTCTTTGGGCAGCGCAATGACGCCTTGCTTAATGATTTCCAGGACCCGTTCCACTGACAGCTCAGCTCCAGCTTGCAGCAACCTTGAGCTAAAGAATGTGATCACCTGTAATGTAAAGTGTTATTTTTTTAAACAAGATGTTTGAAGTGTATTTTTAGTAGCTGCCTTCCTCACATGGTAAACTATCATGATTCCATTCCTACAGTGACCTGGCTTTTAATTCACTAGCCCTTCTAAACACAGTTTGTTCTCTGTTGGGTTTGATAGCCGAATCAGAATTGCGCAACCCCTCAATATCCAGGGCTGATTATTCATTCTGTGAATTAAGTAGCCTCCTGAATTCTACTCTTTCTTGTGCTGCCCAACCTTGCATTTACATTTCATTTATAGAGCAGCATCCAATAGAAAGTGGGGAGAGAAAGCTAAACCCTAAAGCCTATCACTTTTGAAGCTTAATAGTAGCTCTCTCTCTCTCATAAGGGCTTAACAGGAAAGAATTTGAAACTAATGGCTAAAATGATGTTTTGGGGATTATCTATGAATTTAGCCACATTTCCCTTATCGTGATCACCAGGGATAACGAATAGCAACCTATAATTACTTTTGCTTCATGTTATAGCACAGCCCAAAGTATGTAGCAAGATATTAACACAGTAGCATTCTGGAAATACACTGTTCCTAAATATTTGTCACTAAAAAATGAAAACAAAACGTCATTTTTCAGCAAATTATTTTTAAAACCACAACGTTCATAAATCAAGAAGACTGCAGATCCCTTTTAAATTCAAGAAAATAACATTTAGGTGTTTATAGATAGACATGCAAAAATATAAAAAATTACTGTGTTTTTGTAAAGTTGAGCATTACCTTTTATATCTTCTATTTCATAGGTATAATATACTAAGTTACAAACAATCCTTCACAAACATTTTTATGCATTTTCTTTCAGAATTACTCTCCTAAATGCTAATTGTTTAAGAGTACAATAACTTTTCTCTTAACAATGCTAGTGGAAAGTACACTATATTACATAAATGCCACCAAATGCATTTGTTCTGGAAGGTAAAGAGACTTAGCTGGCGCCGCGGCCATTAACAAGCATGTGCCTCACAATTCTGTGGCAATGAGTGAGAACAAAGGCAGCTCATGGCTGGTGACACTGCTTGTGATTCCAGATAAACCATTTCTTTATCTCAAGCAGTTTGCTGGCACCACCAGTTCCTTGGCAAGTTGCTTATTTTGCCCACAAGTTGCTTTTCTGGTATGTGCCTATGGGCCTTGTTCTTTCCCATGTCAGATTTCAAATTCTTTTTGAGTTTCTGGGATTAATATTTTGTTCACAGAGTTTAGACACAGCAGGTCCAAAAATTGATTTTTATAATACAGTGAATAAGTCTTTGAAGAAAGACACAACACAGATAGCAAAACATATTGTAATAGATTAAAATCCTATTTTAAAAATATGCAACAACAAATACACAAAATAAATGCTTTCCTTTTGTGTAAATATCTTCACAGGTTGTAAACACGAGCATAGTTTTTCTGAGAAAAGAATTGGTTAACCATATAAAATGCCAATTTTGTTGGTAAAAAAAAAATGGCTTAATGTTCGAAATTTCATATGGGTCAACCTAACACCTATGCATAGTATTATCTTCTTTGACCAAAAAATATTTAAAGAGTAGGAGCATATCTGTTAAAAACACATTCTAAAAAATAAAAAAAAATGATAATTAAAAAGTAGATAGATGTTACAGATGCTTGAGGCTTACTGAATTTTTTTTTCTTTCTAACACATGCTGAAAGCTATTTCACTACTGGATTTTTGTTTTGTTTATAGCAGTAGATAATATAGACAAGGAGTAGTTCTCAAGCATGGCTGATCATCAGAAGTAGCTGAGAAGCCTTGTGAAATTCTGATCCCAGGGCCTGGTCAGGGACCTTCTATTACACATCAGACTCTCCAGGTGATTTTGATGATCAGCCAAAATCTAGACCACAGGTTTCCAAACTTTTCAGGTTATATACATCTACAAGTAAAAAAATGAGGATGTGCTTGCAATATATGTTCTAGTTTTTTATAAATCGTGCAATATTCTACAGCAGTAATGTTTTACATATTACAAAATGTTCATAAAATAAATTTAAAAGAATGAGATAAAGATAAAACGAATTAGATTTAAAAAACCCGATGATACAAAACACGGTTTTTGTACTCACTAAAATGTCACTGAAAATAATCTGGGTAATTACAGATTACTAATCACAGTGGTTTCACATGACCATCAGCAAGCACAGTATTCACCCGTGGTAAGATCCATCATTTATTACAGTGAATATAAATCCATAGTGCCAACAGTCTTCCTGATAACTTTTATGGATCCATTTGCTGTGAGATTAGACTGATTCATCACTGTTTTTCCCTTGTAATGTGGCACTTGTTCCAGGAGCAGGGGTATGTCAGCTCTGCCATTACCTTTTGTCATATGTGCTTACATTTTTCTATCACCTTCAGTGTGTGGGGAAACATGCTGTTTCATGAGGGTTTAACTAAATCCAGATACTGTAACCAGGAACACACATACTACACTAAGCTTTACGTGAATGAACAGGTGAGTGCATGTATGCCAAGCCCTACGAGTTGAGGAACTTCTATCTTCTCCCTCGGGATATCTGGAGTACTGAAGCTGACACAGCCCTGGCAGGTTGTAAAGGCCAATACTATTAGTAAAACTAAATCTCTTTATTTTTAGATGAATAAATAAAAGCTCTAATATTTTCTTTCCATGCTTCTATGGACGAACTGTTAGTGCAATATCTGGGGGCATGTGCAGCCATCCGCTTTGATAATCACTAATCAAGATAACAAAATGCACATAATCAAAGCTAAATGTAACTAACAGTATTCACATACTACTCAAAGACTTGACAAACCAACAAAAGGGAGTGTACTTATGTGTCACACGACCAAGAACAAAGTAATGCAATGACAGTTTTGCTTTGTTGACTCTGCGGCCTACACTGGCTTTCCTCTAAGCCACAAGGAATTTCCATCTCCACTGGGAGAGCTGCAGAGTAGGCATGAGGCTGGGTTTCTAACTAAATTCCTTTTTCAAACTGGTTCTCATTTGTATGTTTTAAAGCTGACATTCTCATGTTTTTGCATTCAAACTCACACGATTTTAGAAAATGATAAAACTACCACTTGCAGAAGGGAAGTATAATTTATGTATCAAAACCGAAGGAAACAAATCTATCCTGAAGGTTTATCATGGACTGTGTGCTGTACACATACTATTGATTTAATTCTCATGACAATCTCATGAGGCTGATAAAAATCTCTGTCCTACAGAACCGTAAAAAGGATGAGAGAGACAAGAAACTAGACTGGGGTGACCCAGGCAAGTGGGAGGAGCAGGGCTCTAGCTCAGGTATTTCTTCTTACTTTATCATGTCTCTGGCAATTCCTACGTAGCAAAATGGAGCACTAGCTTAGTTTTTCAAATAGGCGATATCTGAGTGAAAGGTGTAAGTTGTTTAGCCAAACTTTTCAGATGTCGTTTGATTGCAACATCACCAAAGAATGTGAGACAATTCATTCAAAGATATGAGCTTCTATTTCCTACTCCCAGGTTATAATTTTGCACATAATAGTACTTTTAGTGATGATGACTACAACAGATGTGTGGCTTTTATCAATTTGTATAGCAACCATTAAAACTGTTAAAATAGATGAACTTTTATTCCTCTGAAAATCTCTGCATGAGACACAGCCAATAACAGAAAAATTTAAGTAAAACCTTTAGTGAAAGTAGGGATGAATGCTTTGTCAGTGTAATTCAAAGACAACCTTTCAAAGGAAGGTACTTTTCCACAGTGCATGTTTTACAACCCTCCTCTACCTACCATATTTGGCTGTAACTCATGAAATCCAGGTATAGTACATTACCTTCCATTATGCTATTAGCTTTGAACAGTGATTGCCCAATGTCATATACTGATAAATCAGTTGTATACTTTGAGTAATGTCAAATCAAATTTAACCACCTGTCATGAAACAAGTGAATGATTATTATTAATAGATCACAGATTAATAGAAACAAGAAGCTTTTCTGGAGTAGAGGAGGGTGAAAAGGAGCTAGTATGTACTCATCAGGCAAACATGCTTGCTTGCTAAAAATGGCCACTCTCCTAAGAGGTAGAAGTAGACAGCTAAATTTTATTTTATTTTTATTTTTTAAGACAATGATAAACATGTGAAATATATATATATTTCCTCATTGACTTGTTTGAGTTTCTCCTCAAATTACTGTATTTTAATCAATACATATATTGACAACCCATTCAGCAGAGGAGCTCTCCCAAGGATTTACCAGGGAAATAAATAGATGATACCATTTTCTCGCTTGAAGAAAGACGCAATATAATTTGGGAGATAAGACAGATCAAATCTGTATAATTAGAATAGACATGATGGTAAAGTGGACAATGAACTACTCAAAGTCAGAAAGCTTAGATTTGATTCCTGCCTCTGATACTAACAATGTGACTTGTAAAACACTCAACATCTAGATGTAGCATGACGCAGTGGTTTAGAGAACTTACCTGGTGTGGGACTGCTTGGGTTTAAATCCCACCTCTCCTTATAATATCTTCAAAGTGACAAAGTTGCAGCATCTACTGCATAGGAACCAATAATGATAACGTGGCAACTTTGTCATTTTGTAAATGAGGGTACTGACACACACCTAATAACAGAAAGAGCTAACGTTTTGTGAGCACTTACCATGCACTTTGCGCTGTGCAGACATTAACTTATTTAAGGCTGCGAATTTCTCTCTGAGCTTTTGCTGGGTCCCACAAATTTTGATATGTTACATTTTCATTTTTGGCTCACTTTAAATTTGTTCTATTTCCCTTGTCTGCTTTTTGACACATGGGTGTAATGTTCACTTTCCAAGTATTTGGAGATTTTCCAGATATCTTTCTTATGGATTTCTATTAAATAGTTTAATTTCACTGTGGTCAAAGAACAGGTGATCTCATGTCATTTAAATTTGCTGAGGGTTGTTTTACGGCCCCATACGTGGTCTCTCTTAGTGAAT